CCATAGAATCGAGACCCTAAACCCTAAACCCTAAACCCTAAACCCTAAACCCTAAACCCTAAACCCTAGACCCTAGACCCCAGACCCTAAACCCCATACGGGTTTAGGTCCCCAAAGCCGCGACTGAACGCCCCAGCCCAAACCTCCCCAAGCCCCTCATACCAAACCCTCCCCACCCCCCACCCCCAAGCCCTCCTTAAACCCTTAACCTCTAAAGTTCCTTCTGCAAGTTTCTTGTGTCTTTGCCGTGTCTTAGCCATTGGCAGGGTCTGTCATTGCAGGGCTTCAATACCTGCTTTGACACTGCTCCTGGCTAAAGTTCCTAGTATGGGCCCTTCATTTGGGTCCCTAAACCCTAAACCCTAAACCCTAAACCCTAAACCCTAAACCCTAAACCCTAAACCCTAAACCCTAAACCCTAAACCCTAAACCCTTGCATACACTGCGTATCATGCGGGCCCATACTTCGGATCCCGATAAACGAGGGTAAGGGACCATCCTAAGGACCCATGGTTTCAACCTTAGAAACCCTAAGCCCTAAACCCTAAACCCTAAACCCTGAACCCTAAACCCTCAACCCCTCGAAGCACTGAAGCCCCCCCTATTCCCAAATCAGGTGACTTGGCTGAGGCACCCACGCTCACCGCGCTGGTCCAGGGCTTCGTGCGGAGGCTCTGCCTGAAGGCCCTGGAGTTGCACCCTAAACCCTAAACCCTAAACCCTAAACCCTAAACACTAAACCCTAAACCCTAAACCCTGAACCCTGAAAACCTACACCCTAAATCCCAAAACCCTAAACCCTAGATCCTGAATCCTAAACCCTAAACCCTCCACAGTTTTGGAACTCTTGTTGCGAGGGTGGGGCCGGGCGGGGGGGGGGGGGGGTGTAGGGTTTAGGTTTAGGGTTTCGGGGGGGGGGGGGGGGGGTGTTTGGAGTCTGGACGGGAGGCGTCGGTGGCCGCCTCGCAGCCGCCCCTCTTGGCCACCTGGAATGTTTAGGGTTTAGGGTTTAGGGTTTAGGGTTTAGGGTTTAGGGTTTAGGGTTTAGGGTTCAGGGTTTAGGCATCAGCTCCAGGCCTAACACCTTAACACCCTAACGCCCTAAACCCCTAAACCCTAAACACCTTAAAACTCTAAATTCCTAAACCCTAAACCCTAAATCCCTGAATCCCCAGAACCCTAAATTCCTCAACCCACAAAGCCCTACCACCCGAAAGCCCTGGAGCTGATGCCTAAACCCTAAACCCTAAACCCTAAACCCTAAACCCTAAACCCGAAACCCGAAACCCTCAACCCTAAACCCTAAACCCTAAGCCCTAAACCCTAAACCCTAAACCCTAAACCCCAAACCCTGAACCCTAAACCCTAAACCCCAAACCCCAAACCCCAAACCCTAAGCCCTGAACCGCAATAGCAAGTCGTGCTTGCTTCTTTCCAGGCTTAGGGCTTCGCGGTCTCAGGCCACAACTCGGGTGGCCTAGTTAGGGTTTAGGGTTTAGGGTTTAGGGTTTAGTATCGGGGGAAGGAGATGACAACAGCCGAGGAGGCTGACGCCTTTGCCGCCTCTAGGGTGAAGAGTTTACCTAGAGGAGTAGAGCACTACGGCCTTTTAGCGGTCTAGGCTTTAGGGTTTAGGGTTTAGGGTTTAGGGGTTCAGGTTTTTTTGGCTCGGGGTTTTAGTGGCATGGCTGGGCAACGCACAGATGACACAGGAAGCCCCCAGAAGATTTTCAATCACTGCGACAACACGAGTTGCCCCTGATTCGTTCCCTGCGTTGACCAGGATGAAGTGGGGAAGATTCGGGAATGTCATTGGTGAAGTGGGAACCCCAATACCCTAAACCCTAAACCCTAAACCCTAAACCCTAAACCCTAAACCCTAAACCCTAAACCCTAAACCCCAAACCCTAAACCCTAAACCCTAAACCCTAAACCCTAAACCCTAAACCCTAAACCCGAAACCCGAAACCCGAAACCCGAAACCCTAACCCTAAACCCAGGCGGCCGACCTGCGCGTCGGCCTCACGCTGGCCGCGCCGCGGCGGGGGCGGGCGAGCTTGCAGTGGCGCCCCGGCTTAGGGTTTAGGGTTGAGGGGTTTAGGGTTCAGGGTTTAGGATTAAGGGGTTAAAGGGGTTTAGGGGTTAGGGGTTTAGGGGTTTAGGGGTTTAGGGGTTTAGGGGTTTAGGGGTTTAGGGGTTTAGGGCTCTTGGGGCTCTGGGGGCTCTTGGGGCTTCAGGGGCTTTAGGGGTTTAGTAAGGTTGAGTAGGGTTTAGGGTTTGGGTTTAGGGCTTTAGGGTGTGAGGGTGTAGGGTTTGAGGGTTTGAGGGTTTGAGGGTTTGAGGGTTTGAGGGTTTGAGGGTTTGAGGGTTTGAGGGTTTGAGGGTTTGAGGGTTTGAGGGTTTGAGGGTTTGAGGGGTTGAGGGTTTGAGGGTTTGAGGGTTTGAGGGTTTGAGGGTTTGAGGGTTTGAGGGTTTGAGGGTTTGAGGGTTTGAGGGTTTGAGGGTTTGAGGGTTTGAGGGTTTGAGGGTTTGAGGGTTTGAGGGTTTGAGGGTTTGAGGTTTTGAGGGTTTGAGGGTTTGAGGGTTTGAGCGTTTGAGGGTTTGAGGGTTTGAGGGTTTGAGGGTTTGAGGGTTTGAGGGTTTGAGGGGTTGAGGGGTTGAGGGTTTGAGGGTTTGAGGGTTTGAGGGTTTGAGGGTTTGAGGGTTTGAGGGGTTGAGGGGTTGAGGGGTTGAGGGGTCAAGGGTTTAGGGGCTTGGGGGTTTGGGGGGTGTAGGGTTTGAGGGTTTGAGAGTATTTGAGGGCTCGATTGCAGTAGTTTGGGTTCAGGGATTTGGAGTTTCAGGAGTTTCTAGGGTTGGCTGAGGGTTTAGGGGGTTGAGGCTCTGTGTATGGTATGGGTGCTCTTGTGGTTGTGGACTTAGGGTAGCCATTGATCTGTGAAAAAAGACGGCAGTTGATGGTTGGATCAACTCACTGAAGAACAAGCCCTAAACCCTAAACCCTAAACCCTTATTAAGGGACCTATATTAGTTCTTGGGGTTTTTTGGGGGGCTGACAAAGCTCCCCTGCCATCCGATCCCAGGCTGCTTCACGGCGTGGCTGCGGACGTTGGGCTCCAGGAGAAGGAGCCGGAAGGTTTTAGGGGTTTCGGGTTCAGGGTTTAGGGTTTTGGGGTTTAGAGTTCAGGGTTTTGGCCCAAAACCTTTGGGGTTTGGGCTTCACGTTTCGGCATTTCAAGTCCAGGCATTCACTAGCCAAGACCCACCTGCCCAGAGCATCCCATCACAAGAAGAAAATATTATGAAGTTCACGCGAACCATTCCCAGTGGGCCCCAAACGCACCAAGACGCAAAACGTATGTGATATAACCTAAGCCCCAAACCCTCAACCCTAAACCCTATGCCCCAAGCCCTGGAGCCCCAAATGCAAGTCAGTCCAACGGCCATCGCTTCGAGCAACAGAGGCTTCCTTTCCAGTTGCTTCACTGAGACTTCGGTTTAGGGTTTAGGGTTTAGGGTTTAGGGTTTAGGATGCAATGGTGCTACAATGCGACGGCTAACGAGTATGCAGGGAGATTTGCTTGTACCTCGTTTGCTTAAAAAGAGCTCCTCTTGTAGCAAAGAGGCAACCGGAGATCGGCCCTTCCCTAGTTTAGGGTTTAGGGTTTAGGGTTTTGGGTTTAGGGTTTAGGGTTTAGGGTTTAGGGTTTAGGGATCATCCTCCGTATACTTTCTACAAGTGGCAACGCTTCTGGACTGGTCCGCAATGATAGGAAACAGAAACCCTATGCCCCAAACCCTATTGCCCTAGGCCCGATGCCCCTAAACCCTAGGGCCCTATTCCTAAACCGTATTCGTTTAGGATTTATATAGCCCTGAAACCTATTCCTAAGCCCCGTTCGTTTCGGATTTAGCCCCAAATCCTTTTTCGAAACGCTATTCTTTTAGGGCTGGGCCCGTTAAAATCCTATTCTTCGGCTAGGATTGGGTGAGCCCAGGAGTAGGATTTTGCGAATAGGATTTAGGCTGCTTCAGGGTTTGGAGTCTAGCGACCCCCGACAAGGGACCCTGGTTCTGAGTGGGCCCCCTCCACATGAACAGGATGAGCCGTCTCTCACCGCCCTCTGCGTTCTTCTCATTTCAGAGACCTCGCTGGCTCCCGGACTCAAGTCGCAGAACTTTGCGGGCTCAGGGGCGGCGTTTCAACGGTTGTGGGGTTTGGGGTTTAGGGCTTGGGGTTCAGTTTCGATTCAGGGCTTCAGCGGTTCAGGATTAGGCATGCTCTTCTGTGCATCCTGCCCGACCCCACCACCTTACGTGTTTAGAGTCTAGGAGGTGTTGGTTTCAGGGGGGGTTCACGGTATAGTCGTAGTGGTGGAAGGCCGGCTGTTCGGGTTTCAATCGCTCTCCCTCGCGCTCTCTCTCTCTCTCTCTCGCTCTCGCTCTCGCTCTCTCTCTCTCTCTCTCTCGCTCTCTCTCTCTCTCTCTCTTGCTCTCCCTCTCTCTCTCTGTCTGTCTGTCTGTCTGTCTGTCTGTCTGTCTGTCTGTCTGTCTGTCTGTCTGTCTGTCTGTCTGTCTCTCTCTCTCTCTCTCTCTCTCTCTCTCTCTCTCTCTGAGCCCCAAGCCCTAAATTCTAAGCGCCAAACCCTAAACCCCAAGCCCTGAGCCCTGCAGCCGCCCCCAAGCCCTTGCCCGAGGTGCACTACACACCACGGCCGAAGGACTCGGTTGCGACTCCAGCTCCTTGGCGGGCTAGGCGTTACTTGAAGGTTCATGAGAGCTTCTGAACAGTTGTAAGTGCCCTAACCCTAAAAACCCTAAACCCTAAACCCTAAACCCTAAACCTTAAGCCCTGAAACCAGGCCCTAAACCCCTAAGAAATACACCTTGAAAGGGTCATCCGTAATACCTGGACCTCAGCAATTTGCCACCATTATCTCCTTGAGGGCAGTCTGACATGAGCCATCCCAGATGCTCATTCGACGTGTATAGGCGCATAC